CTTCGAGTGTGAAGGGTTATCAAGATGTTTTCTACAAATAAATTCAGCTGTTTGTGGTCAGCAGTGATTTTATCTTTTCTTTCTTTGGTAAGTGAAACTGGAGCAAAAATAAGTGTTGATTGCATGCAAGTCATGAATTAACATAATTATATTCACATCAAACAAGTTACATTTGGATAACCTTTCTTTTAATAAATAAAACCACTGATATTAAGATTGTTTGATGATTCAAAAAATGGAAGCGTGACTCAGGTTTTATTTTTTTTATTTTATTTTTTTCAAAAGCACTCATGTGTAAGTATGGATGTGAGAAGCACACACTGCTACCCAGATTATCAAAGCTAAAAACCATCCAACTCAAAAAAAAATTATTGCTTTAAACTGAATCAATCTCATGCGGCTCACAGCAATCTGTACAATATGTTCCCTACTAAATGGAAAAGCTTTTATATAAACAGATTGTTATTCGTTTAGATAACATGTACAAATTGAAAGAAAGCTCCAATGATGGAAAGCAACAAACGGATGAAAGGATTACCAGACTCAAGGACCGAGAGGCGGTTAATCGGCTGCCTTTTAAATACAGCTCTCCTGCAGGTTTGCAGGGGGAAAGTGGAAGCAGGGTCCGTCATTGTGATCAATACCTAAGTGGCTTCCTGGCATTTGTCTATTCAATCCATTATCAAAGGCCATCTGAGCCTGCAGCTCACAAGAAGGGTTGAATGATGGCAGGAGGATGCATGTCGAGGCGACACGCCCACCGAGCCAGACGACCACACTCACGTGTGGGAACACATGCATGTGTACGCCTACTGATGAAATCTCATAATCCCAAAAATATACCACACTGAAAGGGAATACCGCTCTTACCTGTACCCAAAACAAGTTCATATTCTCAAAATGTCAACCACCAAAAACAAATTAACCAGAAATCTTAACAGAGTGAAACAAGACATTAATCATTAAACCTAGGATGTTATTTTATGTTAGACTGTTCAACAAAGGATTCTAAAGCATCCCATGCCTGTACAATAGCATAATAGAAGTCCAGCTAACATGCTAACGAGTGTTTAGAGGCTAACGTGCAATAAATAAGACCACTGCGACCTCAGAGGAACAGTCTGGTTACTAGTAACAGGAAAAGACGTGATGAGTTTCGTTTTAAACAGGTCACACTGGAGTTGCTCCAACTACATGGCTGATGACCAGAAATATTCCTGAATGGAAAGTTTATTTCTTAAAGAAAAACTTTTAAGAAAGAAAGTTCTTAAGTTATTTTATATATCTCAGAAAATAAGTCTGAGATATGCAGAAAGTCATGCAAGGGTCTTGTGTGAAGCTGACATAAGTGTTGTACTCCAACATCATTAGTTAGTTGAATAGTAGAAGAGAAATATAAACGTATATAATGCCACACCGCTGACATGACTTACTGCGCAGGCATCTGGATGGAACCAGTAGTCGTTAAAGGATGCAATAGAGGCTAAAAAGGTTCCTGTTTGTAGGACAGATACAACTGAAAACTGACAATTTTTAGGTTGACTGGCATTACCAGTGACTATTATGTGCCATAAAGTCAGATTAAATTAGATTGGAGCGCTTTTAGAAACATGCATCAACATAACTCCTTGAAACACTTGCCTTTTAATAAAGCACATGCTCATTAACAGGGGGAAACTGAAGTAGCTAGGCTTAAAATGAGGTTACATTTTAGCTGTGCAATTCCACTTGAAAAAAAAAATATTCTCCCTTCCAGCATAGTCCGAGTTTACGCCCCTCAACTCAGATTGTTTCTGGTCAATTTTTTGACCGGGCCAATCAGCGAACATCAGGAGAAGTTGTGAACGATGACATTGATTTTCTGCGTCGTTTCAGAATTGTAGTCTGCCTGTAGTTTTAGCGATGGATGTGGACGGTTGTTTAGAACGCAGGCAATTTCTCCATAACGTGGAACTGGTGCGTCACAGGCAAATGTTAGCGATTGGAGCAACAAAATGACCCAGAACCAAAGTTTTTTATATATATTGTATGATTAACTGATCTAAATATTAAAAACAGACTTGTCTTATTGGTAATATGTCAACACTAAAAGCACATCAACATGAACGCACCAGCTAGAAAAACACCAACTTCAATCTAAAATGTCAAATTTAACCTGTCTGTCACTAGAGGACCCAAATTTGGGTCCTCTCGTGACAGGGGTGTCAAACTCCAGTCCTCAAGGGCCTCTGTCCTGCAACTTTTAGATGTGCCTCTGCTGCACCACACCCGAAAAGAATAATTAGGTCATTAGCAAGGCTCAGGAGAACCGATCTACACAGGGAGGAGGTAATTAAGCCATTTCATTCCACTGTTTTTTTACCTGTGGCACATCGAAACACTGCAGGACAGCGGCCCTTGAGGACTGGAGTTTGACACCCCTGTCATTGTGAATGACAACCTGAGACCAACAGGTTAAGTCTGCCATTCTCTTTATGCCAGTCTCAGCAGCCCAGGTTATACTTCATTTTAGTGTAACAAGCTTTTACATAGAAATTCAAAATTTATGGATATGCCCTTCTTACCCTTATGATTTGGCCAGCTCTATAGTAGCTCTTCACACAGAAAACCTAACTTCGTAACGATTAATAAATGTCAAAAATACACATATCTACTCCTTGTTTTAAGAATAAAAATGTGCTGCATGATCTGTATACTCTAACCAGCAATGTGCAACCTTGAGTTAAATCCAGATTTTAGCTGGATTAATGATTGAAATTCATGACAACCTTATGACTCAGGGTAGCAGAAATATTTCCACTTATGTGTCAGTTGCACAAATATTCTCCAAAACTTGGAGAGAAATTTAACAGCAGCACATCGCTCTGCTACTCAGTAAAGAGGAATCTCTCGAATTCAATCATTAATCATGAATATAGAGCAACAAAATGGTTATCAATGCCAGTGGAAACACAGGAACTCTGAAATGAATGAGTGGCCTAAGCAAAGCTCCATAAACATATTCTGCTACATTACCTTTTAAAGTAAAATTGTACTCACGCCTGTCAAATAGATCATGCATTTCTAAATGTGGCAATGCCAAGACTAGCTAAAGTACAAAAGAGCGTCATATGGTTTACCAGAGGGAGGCTGTCCAACAAAAAAAATGCTCCTAGGACATCAACACAACAATAATGGATAAGGGCGGGTCTTTATCGTGTGTGGGATGACAGGAATTGCATCCAACACTGCACTTCACTGAGCATAGATGCATCCCAACACAGACGACCACAGAGAACAAAGACTTCAATTATGTGGCGCTCCAACAGGAGAGCTAAAAACGGGACCCAAAGGCAGGGAATAAAAACCTTGGAGCGCTGGAGGAATTCTGAGCATCTGAGCACCATCAACACACAACAAGCTGTCACTCCTAAATCGCGCTGCCACCGCTGCTGACCTTTTCTCCAGGCTGCATGAAATGAGCCAGTGTTCAAGTGGGTGGAACAGAGGGCTCTTATGCTCACGGGCACCCGAACTTCTCCAGAACATATCGCTGCTTACAGAATCGTGCATGCTGAAGAGAGGCAAGGCGTCATGCATGGCTTCAATATGCATCGAGCGGCTTAGGCATAATACGCTGCAAGGAAAGACAAGTTCATTCATACAGCACCATTCACACAGATTGCCAATTACAATTCTTTGCAAGGAAATAATGGAAATGAGAAATGTAATGGAACTAAAAACAAAAATAGAAGCAACACAGGAAGAAAAAGAGGCAAAATGCACATTGAAAAAACAAAATTCTAAGGAACGGTAACTAATATAAGGAACAATTTACCTTTATAGAAACATTGCAGTAAATACTAATGTTTGCAGTCCAGCTTTGGCACAACTCTGCTTTTCATGAAGTTGGTTTCTCTTGTTTAATTCTAAGTGGAAAATTGAGTGACCAGTCTGATGACTTGAGAAACTGAGAAGGTTCCTACCAGACAAGAAACTTAAATGTATTCAGGCTCTAAACTATTCAGAGCAGTACAAGAACAATAACAATCTCTTATTTTACAAACAGCTTTTTGACTCAAGTCAAGTTCTTCTATCTGGTCTCGAATCATGGATTTCTGGATCCCTCAATCCCCCCCGAAATTTGAAATTCTGGGCCCTCCATTCGTCATTGACTGAGGTGACATAGAAATACAAAGTTTCATGTCCTCAGTGTACATATGATGCTATAATCTAAGCAACAGATACTGAATTAAAAAAAAAAATATCCCAAGAATGGAGCCTTGAGGAGGACTATATACAGTAGTCCTGGTCTGCCAAATAAGATCTGAACCAGTTTAGAATAGTACCAGACAAGCTCACCTGCATTTCCAGTCTATTAACCAGTATGTTACATTCAGCTGTGCCAAGTTCCAGAGACACTAGCTTGGATGTGTTATAAGCACTACTGTCATTTAAAACCTTCACCAAAACAGTCCCAGAACTTTGATTTGGTAGAAAACCTGACTGAGAAAAACTATAGACTTTTTGGGTTTTCTTAATCAAAAAGAAAGGAATGGTCATATGAGCCTTTACACTGGTCACAAAAAATACAAACATACAATCGACGTTTTACATTTTCCTCTCCAGATCTCGACAGAAGAGATTCTTTTAAGCTCTCAGTCATCAGGGTGATGCAAAACGTCAGCTGCTGACTCTTGTTTTCTGAAACATTTTGTACTTTTGCAATCTTCATGGAATTTAGTTTCTCAGAGTGGTGCCTACTTCGAATGAGGCTTTTGCTGCCCAACAAATGTGAACAGATAACACAAGCCAGCTCCAGAAACGCACACAACTCTCTCACACGGCAAGGCAGAAAAAGGAATAGGTTTTTCGTAGCTGCTCCATTACAAATGGAATAAAACTGCTATTTGAAGATGTAGTCGTACGTGTCACGTCAAAATCAGTCGGGAAATTATGCACACATCACGACAGACTTTATGTGTAGTTTTCTGCAGAGACATAACAAAATGTACATGTACCTAGCTTCTCCACAAGTTTGAGCATAACTCCACCGATGTGGATTTCCCCAGTGACTCTCAGAGACACGTCCCTGTGGAGGTCGGTGACATGCATCTTCAGCTCCCATGTCCCATCGGCATAGCAGCCATCGGGCATCCGGATCCCATCCAGTGCCATCCTGCTGGAGAAGAACCAAAAATAGGTGGTGAAACAACACAGCCAAAACATACAGCACACATTTAAGGTCTTGGGGGGGGGAAAAATTTAATCCCCGGTTTGATAGTTCAAAGACCCTCCCCTCCACGTCCGTTACATTTTTTATTAATATCCACCTATTGCATCTGATCTTTCGTCAAGGATTAACACAACTACAACCGTACCAGCAATCTTTGCTGCTGCTTTGTTGTTCCCCTCATGTCTTCTGTTGCTCTGGAAATCTTTTGGAGCACATAGGAAACACAACCCTGATGTCATAGTGGGTTTTCAACCAAACCCTCCAGACCCCGGGCTGTTTGCTCTATAAGCACAAAGTTTCTGCTGAATTTCCAAGAGTTTACCAAACTCTATGTTTATGCCTGTGATAGTGGGACAGAAAAAATGTTTGCAAGCTGGCATCACTGCCAAACTAACTGACAAGCTGACCACACCTAATGTGTGTGCCAAGCTTTGCTGCAATTGACAGATTTGGAAATTGCATAATTACCTCACTATACGATGGCAAGATAAACTAGGTCTTTGTTCAGCCTTGTTTGTCACAGTCCAGTTAAATACATTTTTAAATTGCTCTTGCTGTAGGTATAGGCAAGCTTAACAAGGTAGCCAGTTTTTAACAACAATCTCCTGACTTGTGAAGTTCAACAGATATCTGCCTTATTGGACTTGCATGTTTTATCTTTCTCATTTTGAAAAGCAGACATAAAATTGGTGTCTGTGTCATGTTAGAAAGTTGGATTAGAAAGTTATTGGACATGTTAATGAACTTTAAGAAATCTACAGCTTAGAACAAAATTATTCATGCGCCAGGCAGATTTAGATTGATTTTTTTTAATTCTATCAGTAAACTGAGTTCTGATGAGTCCAGAAAATCTCAAAACATAATTCAACATCAAAGGAATATATTGGTTTTATTTGCATTTTATGAGAAATATCTCATGCCAAAAAATGTTTATATGCCTTTTTAGTAAGCATTGGAAAAATCTTCATTAGCATTAGAGCAATCAAATCCTTCTGTTAATATTACTTCCAGTCAGAAAAAGCATATAGGTAAAATTCTGACCGCAACTATCAAATAAAAGAAATACTCAATAACATTTTCTGTAGGTTTTTATGAAGTACAAATAACTGTTCTCTATGAGACTTCATATATATTTTTTCCGTTACTAATTAGTCTCAAATGTAAGGTGGTATTTTTCTAAATGTTTCCAGTGAAGGACTAATTTATTTGAAAGGTTTTTAACCATCTTTAGCATCTTATCCTTACTCACATCAGGTAATACTGGAAAATAATTCAACCTATAGAAAAAATAGATACAGAAAATATCAAATTATTGATAAAACCCATAAATAATGTGGCAGGAGTCATGTTTTAGCATCTCTCCTTACAACTTCAATAGTGTAGCCCAGTTTCTCCAGCTCTGCTACACAGCCATGGCCGCTTACAGTTTTCAACATCTCTCAGTGCTCAATAACTCACTCTAAAGCATCCATTTAGTAAGGAAGGAATGACTAGAATTTCATGGTGCCCGTTTATAAAACGTGCCCTGTTGAACAAAGTGACCGCCAAAAAGTTACCACCGTCTCTGTACATGTCACTCCATTATCTGAGGCTCTCTGTTGGAGTGGCCTGGCTTTTCAAAGCAGCCGTCCAGTCAATAAAAACACGGCACAACAAAGGCCATCTTCCCGCGAAAGCAGCTTCAATAGAGACCTTTGGCAGCTGTTATCTACGTCAATGTGTCGTTTCACCTGTTAAAACTAACGGTAAAGGCTGGCTTACAAATAGGAGTTAATTATGTAAGCACAGCAACTCCCCGGCTGCTGTTGCATGCAGCATACAAACCACTCAGTCGGTCCCTGAAGAAATAAGTTCAACTAAAAGTGTTGAAGAAAACAAAACAACCCTTAAAACCTCACGGGGAAATAAAAAAAGTAGAGTTTTAGTGAAAAGTAAGCAAAGTGAAAAGAGGTTTTCATATTTCCGAGCGGCGAACGAGGACAGCTTTGAGGTCGAGCATTTAAATGTGCACACTCACCTTCAAAAAGACGGGGGAAAAAACACACCAAAAGACTCGACTACACGGCACAGAACAAGCCCCCCTTCTTTAAATCATGTATATATTCTTGACTGGGTGCTAAAAAGAGAGAAAAATCCCCGAAGAACTCGCCGAAGAAGTGAAGTATCCCAAACACTTTTCCAGGCAGCAGGCTTCGCATTAATGGAGTCCAGCCCTCCCTCTCTCTTTCCTCCCTCTTTTCCAGCAGGGATAACGTCACCGCCCCAATCCCACTTTTCCTTTCTAACCAGGAGAGTCCACTGCTGGACTCTAACTATTCTGAGCATCTTCCCCCAGTTCATGCGCTTTGCTTAATCTACAAAGGCGCATCTAGAAGATTTTGTAAGGAGTGTCCAGATGGGAGGGGGGGGGACTGATAATGTTGGGGTGGCAAAAAGTGAGAACAAAAAAGCCAGATCAGAGTTTTAGGAGTTTCATCAAAGAAAGTTGCTGTGGTGGAAATTGAAATCCAGGTTTGTTTAAAAAAAAATATTCACAGTTGTCCCCAGCATTTAAAATAAACAGTTTATTTTTTTTTTCAGAAAAATTTGAAACAAAAACAAATAAATAAAATTTAACTTTCATTTTTAAATGGATGGATGAACAGACATTTAAAAAAAATGTCCTGTATAGTAAATCCTAATTATACAGGAAATATTTACTTTCATGCATAGTAAAATAACCAGTCATTCAATCCATTTACCCTTATTGTCATAAAACAGTTTCGTCCCAGAATTAAAAAAAAAAAAAAAAAAAAAAACTGAATAAAGCTCACTTAAATGTAAATCTATGAGTAAAGAACAATGTTGAATATCTTGAATCAGATTTAAATTGAACTGAAAGCCTCCAGGACATTCAGCAGCCTGCAGGGTTAATGGAGACAGGAAAGATTTCAAGCTGCCCTTATATGGCAACAATGCAGCTGAGCCATGCATCAGTAGCCAGGGACCAGGAGTTCCTAGATTTAAATAACGACACAGAATGACAGGAGACATCATTTTAAAACACTTTCATATCTTAAATTCTTTTTTTTTTTCTGTAGAATGTCAAACGATTTTTAAGTCTTAAATCTTCCTCCGCTACACGAGTCATTGAATAAACTCTGTAGCTCAGAAAGAACACCTAACATGAGTCCCAAGATTTCTCCTGGTGGTATTTGCGGCAGCTTTTCTAATTTTAAATAACATTTCTTCTCCCTGCTGTTTGCACAGTTTCAGTTCAAACATTGTATTCTTTTGTTTTTAAATGTTTTCAAAGAACATTTTCTTTTCCATTGCCCTACTGCACATTTTTTGGATCAGAGTCTGCCATTTTTGATTACTGCACAGTATTTTATAGTGTAATTTTGCTGTTATTGTACAGTATATTATTGCTCATTTTTTAAAAAATATATGTATATATTTATCACTTTCTTTGTGTGACCCCACATGCCTCCACTTCCTGCCACTTTGCTGCTTTTACAAGTTACACATAAATTCAAGTTACACACAAATTTCTGTTATAAATTTGCCAAACTACATTGCATTTTCTGAAATTTTAAATGACAAAAGTAGTGTGGAATTGCAAAGTGGAAAGAAAAAGAGTTGTCTTTCAGACTTAAGCGTGAATAACAGCCTGGAATATGTGGCATGCTTTTGCATCCTGTCTCACTAAGTCGATACAGTGCAGAACCACCTTTTATTACAATCATAGCTGCAAAAGCTTTGCACAACGAATTGAATTTTTTTTTTTTAAATACCTCTAGCTCAGCAAATTTTTAAGTCTTGTCAGAGATTCTCAATTAGATTAAGATGTGAACTTTGACTGGACCATCCTAACACAAACCATTCTAATGTATCTCTGGCATTATGTCAACGGTTGTTGTCCTGCTGGAAAATAAATCTCCACGCCGGTCTTTTGCACTCCAGCAGGTTTTCTTTTTTTTTTTTCTAGCCCCTTTGGGCATCCTGCAACAGAAAAAAGCCTCCCTGCAGGATGATACACACACCTTTAATGAGGACAGTACGTTATATAGTTTTACTTCAGTCATAACTAAAAATTTCCATTATGGTCTATTTGTCTATTCTTCTGCACACTTACTTAGTCCTTTACATGGCTTATGGTAAAATTCTAATGGGATTTCTTGTCGCTTTTTTAAATAAAGGTCAGATTTTGACATTTTAAAAACCTTTGAATCCTTCCAAACTTTTTCACAATTATGCATTACATCTCATTTGTGACTGTAAAGAGAAAAGGTGTTTAAAAGTATGAATAGTACGAATAACTTTTCATGTGTATTTTCTTCTGAGTACACATTTGATTGAAGTAGTTCTTTCAAATAATGACACTTAGTCTGGATCACAAGGAGCAGATGACAACACAGCCTGCAAGCCGCGCGGCTCCTCGTCGCACTGTTGTAGATGAAAGATAATTTACGCAACAATGAGCGACTACACAAATCACACGTAGAGGGGGTTGGGGGGAAAAAAAAAAAAAAAAAAAAAAACGTCATGAGCCTCCCTGAAGCAGGACCACAATACGCACTCTGCCGCACGCTCTCCAAACGATCAGCGGCAACATCTCATGAATCATGAGCGTTCTTGGCGCGGTCTCCTGGTGAACTCACTCTCCTCCAGTCCTCCAGCGAAGGAATCTGGGCCTTCAGATCCCAGGTCTGCATCAAAGCGATTTATAACCCATCTCCCTGCTGCTGCTACAACCCCCCCCCCCCGTTAGGATCTGGCAGCAGACCCCATTGCCTTTTATAGGCTGTGTTTTAATTGCAGAGTAAACAGTTCAGTCCGATGCAAAGCAGAAGAGTCAGATAAGAAGTTGGCCCAGCTGCTGCTGATGTGGACGAGGTCGTGGGGGGGGGGGAGGGGGGGGTACACGAAGAAGAAGCAGAAAGTTGAAAGAGACATAAGTTTGATCGTTCACATAAACTCCTAGTTTGCTTTATTGTCGTATAATACCCAGTCTACGTGTCCGGGCGTCACTGATCAATGCTAAGTTACAGTTACGAGAACATCTGTTAAAATGGCTCATTATGCAGACACAGGATGAGACCCTGAGCACTGAACAGATGGTCATTGTGCCTTTGTTTCAACATTACCAGTGGTACACTGACCTCTGGTGGTCAGAGAAACCATGGCGTCATTCGTTATGTATGACCCAGCTGATCCTTTTTGTTACTACTATGTTGCATAAAATAGAAAAAAAAAAAAAAACACACACACACCATGAGCTCATGTGGAAGCTATCAATGCTAATGCGTAACAATGTGACCTATTCATCAACTATGAGTTAAAGTCTGTTCAGGGGGTGTTGAAGAAAGAATCCGGTCTGTGTCGCTGATGAACAAACACACCCATTCTCTACTGAATTGAGTCTAAAAATGAGAGAGGAGGGCATCTACATGCACAGGAGAGGGACCAGTTCAGTATTTTCCTCCCTTTAATAATGTACAAAACAAGACCAAATGAGAAAAGGAAATGATTTAATAAAAGGAAATAAATACAGTGCTTTGGATGGCAGTTAGAATCCAGTACAGGCATGGGTTATTGCACAGCTCTAAGGACAGACAAACTTTTTTTCCCCTCCCCAAAGACATCTGCTCAAAGTTCAAACAAGAATAACATTTAATTTGCACCTCCTAATTAATAAGGGAGGATAAGTACGAGGATAAGGGAATGTTTGTTTCCCTTATCCTCGTACTTAAGACTTGCAGAGCATACGCAACTTATGCATGAAGCTGCTATGTTTTACAAAACAACAAACATATTGAGCTGGATCATAATCGACGGCTTCAATCTGACACCCAACCCATAGCGGAAATTCTGCAAACACGTAGCAGCGGACAATTCCTCAAACGCCTTTGCTACTAAAAATATGCTGTCATCAGTCAAAAAAAAACTGTACATTAACTGGACGTAGAGTCAGTCAAAATGTATGTTTTGCGAAAACTCTCCCGAACGCTTTCCTGTGAGCTCGCAAGCTTCTAAAGCAAGCAGAGTGAAGAAGTCTGAGCTTGAACTGAAAGACTTCGAAATGTGCTAGTTTGCACATATTTTAATGAAATACTGTCAAACTACACACAGTTGCAGCGCCACCCGGTGGAGGGTTTGTTGCCATTACAGTACAGACTGAATTTGTCACTGCATGAATGAGAGACGAGGCCAGGGTAAAACTGCATTTCTGCGGGTTGAAATTAGCTTCCCGCGTGTGTTTCTGCAATGTTACGTCACGCTAAGCAAAAATAAATAAATAAAAAAATAAAACAAATGGGAATCTTTAGTAAAGATTCTGTGCATTTCTTAGTAATGATTGTAAGATTTCCAACAGATCAAATCAATAAATAATCTCATATTACTCTGCCTTATTTGCCACAGGTAAAGCACCGATCTTGCTATCATGTCAGTTTTTCAAGGCAGAATGGTTTAAGCAAGTTGGCCTTTGCAAATGTAACAGTCATTTTGCACTTATAATAAACTGATTCCACTCAGCAGCAGAGCACAAAGAATCAGACTTAAGGTGGTGCAGTTCAGCTGTGTACATCAAATTCAAACGAGCTCCTTTATTACTACATATGCATCGCAAAGTTATAACAAAATCAATAAGTAATTTGCTTCAGTAATGCAATTCAAAAAGTTAAATCCTTACACACAGAGTGCGATACTTCAGACATTATCTCTGTTCGTTTTGATTGTTGTGGCTTAGAACTAGTGAAAATTCAAAATTCTGTTTCAAAGAACACTTGCATATTAAGTCAAGTCATGTAGAAACAAGTCAGCTTCTGCTGACTTGAAGGTTTTCCAGGCGGTAATCATCGACACTCTCTCCAAAGAGGACAGACCACAAAAAGGTTATTGCTAAAATATCTGGCTGGTCAGAGTTCTGAAGCCAAGTAAATCAATGGAGAGATAAGTGTAAGAAAAGTAAATAAATAAAATACCTTATGTGTAATTCTAATTTTCAGAGAAACCAAGTTTTAGATTTTCATTGTATAAACCATAACCAATAAATCACTCTGTGCAATTAATCTACACATTGTAAGAGTTTCACTTCTAGAAGCGCGTTACTGAAATAAATCAATTATTTGATGATATTCTAACTTAATGAGATGACCCTGTATGATAATGCAACAAAAATGGATACATTAAATTTGACACTTTTTAATGCAACTCCGCTTTGTTTCTTCATCCTTTGCTTGCGTGTTTCAAATGAGTCATTTTGCAGTGTTAAAAATTCTTGGATGTGTGTTGGCACACAGCACTATTTTTTTTATTGTTCCGACATTCATCAGCTATTTATCTGAGACCATGCAAAGTGCAAAAGCATTCTAGTTTCTGCAGAAATATTACTGGGGCTAGAAATTAAAGAGGGATCTCATTTGCACCTACAACCACAGTTAATTTCTTTTTTTTTTTTTAGAAAATAATTACTTACCATATCCTGTCTTCGTTTTTTTTGTTTTTTTCCTATCTTTTTGGAATAAATCTAGGTTTCATACAAGCAATTGTACTTCAAGTGACTTTGTTTGACTATTTGACTGCAACTGTAAATTTTCATAAACACCAATATAACATCTGGCCAAAGGGGGGAAAAAAGTGCACATTGGTAACAAAAAGCGGAGAAACGATAACATGTGCATTGTCTTCGAAAAACACCCAAACGAACGTACTTTTAAGTTTCACACCTTGTCAATTACATTTTTCCATGGACCACAGACGGTAGCTTTACTACAGCAGCTAACAACACTGGACACATAAATGTTATTTGGCCACATGTCTGAATCCCTCTTTTCACATGATGAGATTCAGGTTTATATGCGCAAGCGCCTGAAAATCATTACGAAAATATTTCCGTTTTCCAATAAAAGTACATATAGAACCAGTCATTTCATTTGGACATCAATGAAAACATATAGGCAAACATAAGGACGATCAGATGCATCTCCATAAATTAATACAAATAATAAAGAAGCGTTGATTTCAGTTGAGCAACAATGACTGCTTTCAGGAGAACTCATGTAAATCACACCATCGAGACCTTCCCACTGTCATAAAGCGTAAGAAAATAACTATATGCTTTCCGATCTGCCTGTTGTGATACAAGAGGTACACGTCTGAAAGTGACATGGAATTCAAAAGGGAAATATTTAGTTGCAACTGCTGAAAGAAAGTTTCCCCAAAAACTAAAAGTGTTTTATTTTGGTGTAACTAAACCAAGAAGTCATACTTGACAACAAATACACAATATGCCGAGGTTGTATTTGGTTTACGCCTTTCAAATATTACTGATCTTAAAAAGTTGAAAGCAAACAACTGAATAAAACACATATTGCCAATATTATTAAAGGGTTTATGACCTATTTTTTTTTTTTTTTTTTTTTTTGTGAAAATAGTATATTAGTAACATTTTTGGGCTGATTTCAAAAGGCATTTCATTCCCATGTAAGCAGTGGGTTTTTCACATTTTGGCTAAACATTTCGTGAAAAAAACCTTTTTTGTAACAATCATTCCTTTTATAAATCCAAAAATACATCAGAAGGCTCCAGAGTGAGTGTCTGCAGAGTGGATGGGCTGATAAAACATTAAACTTGTAGACAACCAAATAAGCCAAACAGACTCGATGTTGGGATGAAAATAAAATTGCTTTTTTGATGCTGGAGGAACCTCCATGATTTAGGGTAACTGCCTCTTCTTCCATGGTACCGTTAGCGTTCACACTGGCACAGAGTTTCCTTCTGTAGGGTCTCCTGGACCATCAATGGCTACATCTCGGAATGAAGTTTTCTTTTTATTTTTAAACCAATGATTCTCAAATGTAGCTGGATCATAAATCAAGACAAAGGACAGGTTGATAGTTCATGTATTTGACAGGTTGCAAGGGGAGAATCAAGCAGTCACTGTTTTGAGTTTTGTCAGGAAACGACAAAAGCTTCAGCAGTTACAGGACATCTGCTCAGGCGTACGTGTTGGAACAAACGCCTCAGTCTGGTTCCGGAGTCTGTTCTGCTGAGGCGGAGGGTGTCGACTTATCATATAGGAAGGTCAGCAAGAAGAGCGCAATGTCATGTGAGCACCAGTAGCCAGTGTGTGAGGTCACAGCTGACCAATAGCGGCTCTCTACCAGACCCTCCCTCAGCTCGAAGTCGATGCGTCTCTCCAGCTCCACTGCAAGAGAGAAACACAGGATTACAGTCAGAATATGCCAACAGATACCCTGCTGGCCCTCCTTAAAAGTTCATTAGCCTTTATGTTTCTTTTCTTTTCTTTTCAGCTTCCTAAAATATATTTTGATGAATGATTTCAAAACAAAATACAATTTCCGTATATATACAATAACATGCAGGGGGTCTATGTCTGTTAATCTGATTGTGATTAAGTCAGTCCCTCACCAGCCACGAACCTCTCCGCACGTCACTGATGCACACAAACACACTTTGGTTAATGCTTTGTACCAGAAAGAACATACATAAAGTGTCACCAGTGGGAGATGTTGGTCGAGTTATTGTGGAAAGACCATAAGACGACTGGCTTTCGGTGCGCTTCTCCTCCTCTTCCTCAGCGTTCGCTCCTCCCTCAACTCCTAAGGACACTGAAGGTTGGCTGTTTGATCGGGAAAACCGTGAGAAGAGGATGCCTCCTAAACCCTTTCCTATGCTTGCTGCACCTGCAGGTTGACATGAAGGAAGAGTTTAAAATATACAGAAAACGTTCCAGCGCCTGATATTTCTAAGAACGTATTTTTTGAAAACAACGCATCGCTTTCCATGTATGTCAAAATGACAGCTTTCTTCCTGTTGGTCACTCAGCAGTCTAATGAAATAATGTTTATGAATATAACATGATCAAATGTGAAAAGAGGGTATGACTAATTCTTTAAATGTATTATTTACAATATTTTATATATATATATATAAAAAGCAGAGCAACAGTAGTTGCCCTTTATGGCCACATGATGGCACCACTGACTCAAAGTTGGGGGAAAATTCAAACCGCTGTCTTATACAGTCTGATATTTTCACCAAAGACAATTACCGTACATTTTCAGAAGATTCTACAGAGTATGTGTAATTAGAAGCAGTGTGTGAAATTTGTACTAACCTGTTTCATTTGATGATACTAAGTGGAACAAAGTAAAGGACACACCAATCAAGCAATAAAAACACGCTAAATTTACCTAGTATACTGGCCTTGCCCAGGCTGGTGATAGACTCTCCATAATGTTTACGGGCCAAGACAGGAGACGTACTCGGACTGGGAATGCTCTCCGTGTCTGAAGCCGGATCTTTAACTGGATTGAGGAAAGTCGGCCGGACCTCATCATAGGATGAAGGGTTAGTGGCACTACACCTGGTGATGAAAACAATTTATACATTTGTTACCACTTTGTGCTAGTAAAGAATAATAAAAGTGTAAAACTTAAGCTTTTACCAATGTATCTGGACAGGTGCAACGTTACTATAATGCTTAAGGATGAGAGGCTCCAGTCTGTAAGCCTAAACACAACAGAAAAGAGTTAACTCCTTAAAAGAAAAGATGCTGAGCATGAACATTTATCATTTTCACTTCTCATTTATAAATATATATATATATATATAAATTATAGGCATATATCAGGCATATCTGACCACAGGGTCTGTTGGATGGAAGACATTGAAGAGCCGGCTGCAGATGGAGGTGGGCAGGATGTGGTCCTGGTGGCCGCTGGTGCCTGGGCGAATCCCTCGCAGGGCCAAGAAAACTGCCAGAGGAGACCCCATGCAGAAAAAGTTTTCTACCTGTGAGACAAAAGGTGAAAAAATTTATAGTAAATCCCCCAACAAGAGCTTTTATATATATATATACACACATCTTTTTATCGTAAACAAAAGTTGTTAATTGTAATAAACAACAACGTGAGGCGAGTTAAGTTTTTCCTTGATGCATTAACATGTTTTTCATTGCTTATTTAACTGCAGCCAGTTTCAGTTTACATTAAGCTGTTCTTGTTTTACAGCATTGTTGTCTTTCTGGTTACCAATGTGCCAAAACCCCGAGCCAGGTTTCAACCACCAGTTTCTACAGGATGATTCCCGTTTAGCAAGAAAACATATGACCACCAAGACCGGCATGCCGTAAATGCTGCCCCTGGGAGACGCTCCTTTGAGTTTCAGGAGTTATAAACTACAGAAAAACATGTTTTGACTCCAGATGGTGCTACCAAGGCTATTGGTAAATAAGACTTCATCCTCTACACAGGGCAGACATTATTCCTGTTTGCTCTGGAAAGACATACACTTGGGGGGGGGAAGTGTATTAAGCGATGTTGTCGGACATTACACACAGTCATCGTCAGAAATGTGCTTGATCTACATCTATGGTTTTCATTTTTTCCAAGGGTGTATAATGATATCATCCTATCAGTACTATGATATATGTTTATATTTTGGCTTGTATGTGAAAGGAGCCTGGGTCAGTTAGATAAAATCTAACTCGAGTGTCAGTTTTGCTTCCTGAAATTTATTGTAGCACACTACCACCCTTAAATAAGAGTTGTTTAAAAACATTCATGGTCATGGTGATTGTAAGATTCTGACTACAATTGCAAAATCCAAGAGTCCAAAAAAATCTTACCTTGAATTTAAGAGCTGGGGGAGCTGAAGGATTAGAGGCCTCCAGTTTGACCAGTTGATTTTCCAACTCTCTTAACCTGGCAAAAACAAAAATAAAACTAATTTTGCAGCACACCACACAAGAAATAAAGAGATATTATTCCCTGACCTTTTCCCATCCTTAGTCAGCAACATATCCTCACCCTTTGAGTCACTGCTCTGTATAATTAATATCCCACCTATTCTTTGTGAGCCTCAGCTCCTCTAAAAGCTGCCTCTCTTCGTAAGACATCCAACGGAAATCCTGCTCCTCCTCTACTGCGCAGTGCTCCTGCAGACAGAACCGTACGGGATCCCATCCTGTCATGATGTCATAGGTGATGACACAGCCGAGGGAGTGAGACACAATGGACACTTTTCCACCACGTTCTTCAAAATCAGGGTTCCGCGAGCAGAAGAGCGAGTACAGTCTGTTCAGCTCTTCTGTGAGCCCCTTGGTTATCTAGGGGGAAAAAAAAAAACCAGAAGAGAAGAAGTTATCTTAAGGATAATAATAATAAAAAAAAAAAAGGCTACCAGAGACGCCTTTTATAATCTGTAACTGTATGATTCTCACTTCGTCGCGATAAAGAGGACTGTTGTAGTACATGATGTCCATGGCACTGCTGTTGAGAAGGTCACGCAGCCCTCGCACTTTGTCTGGTGTGATGGAGTCAACCGTATCTATGGAAACGTGCCATGTATGCATCACCCAGAACACGCCCGAGGTCATCGATAGTGAAACCACACTGCAATCCTCACATACCTCCATCCAGCGCTAGTTTAGAGCGCCATTCGACAGGGAGAAACTCCACGTGTTCATCGTTGTGCTCAGAAAAGTGCTTCTCCTCCATCTTCCTCACGCCTTCCCTCAACCTTAAGGAACACAACAGAGAAAGTGTGAATAACGACAGCGTTGAACAGCTGTACCGACAGAAGTCTGACATAAGAAAAACAGTTTGTGTGCATGACAATATCAGGTATGTCAGTGGTGATTGACACTGAACCCCCATTTTATCTCTCCCCATTTCTAATAGAAGAAGTTTAAATGTAGGATGTGGCTCTTTATGGAGAGGAAACCACATGTCACATGCCTGTCTGCAGGGGGAACTTGCACGATCCGAGTGTAGGGAACTAGATTACTGATTTAAATGTGGCGTGCACACCACGATCTTTGTTGATGTAGCAACATTTTTAATCTTTGAGAAACAATAGTGTCAAAAACCTTACAGTTCCCCCCCTTTAGTTGACGACAAAGAAACCATCAGGCACGGTGCCGAGATGATACAAAGTGTAATAAAGAGTCAAAGCAAAAGTAGAACACTGCTTTGGCAGATCTCTTCTTTTGGCAGTGGAAGGTGTGTGCAACGTAATCCACAGGAAGATACGAGGCAGGCTCAACATGCTCTGCAGCTTGACTTGGTCTACTTCGGTTACTGAGACGGTGTGAGCAGGATCAATGAGTTAAGTGTAAACTTTGGGACACCGTGGAATGTTGCGTCATGTTTATACAAGATTAGGTTAAATATAAGATGTGACATGAAGGCAGTAGTCGAGTACCGGCATAGAGGTATGCGATTTGAAAACACAAGCCCAAAAGCTTTAAAATGTGTCTTTCTTGTAAGCAAAGTGAATACATAGAAGCTTTCATTTTCCTGCTCGTTTCTGCATACTGCCACCCAGACTGCTAAACTAAGATTTTTTTTCTTTCTTACTTGCTGTGAAGTGGCACCACCCACCAGGATCACTGGGGTAAATCTGTTTTAAACACCAGCACCAGATGATAGTCCAACTAGTTAACCAGAACATAAACTATGAAGACAACATTAAGGTATAAAGTTATATGATTCGGCTCAATAAGCAGATTTTAGAGCAATACTTACAAAAATGCTACTAAATAAATCAGTGGTTTATTCTAAATTACATTTCTATTTCAGTTCACGAGTCAAAATAAGAATAGATGCATATTTTAAAAAAGTTTTTTTTTAATACTTGTAATAATGTGTTAAATAATTTCAACAGTAGTAGGTGTAACTGTTGATTCAGTTTAAAAAAAATCAATTAGATCATATTTAATATGTTTGTTTTAAATAATTGTGTTAATGCCAGGATATTGCATCATCTTTAATTTAAATCATCACCGTGTCAATTTCACACCCACCCATGTCTAATAGCGTGAATAATATGTTACTCTTTGACTTGTCCTATATAGCTTGTTATTTTTGGTAGATTTTGGGTACATTGTACTTTCTGGGCCACCATAGTTTGGATGTTCCCAAAACAAAGCATGTAGTCAGCTTTCCAGGTGTAGAACAGAAGACGAATGTGGGGGGCAAAAAAAGTGAGAAGCACGAGGACAAAACACAGACTGCAGCTGCAACACCATCACTGTTTAAACTGCAAAATGATCTTTGATTAAAAAAATAATAATAATAATAATAAAAAAAAAAAAAGAAAACATTGATGTTTCTGGAAACATGGCAACAATTTTTAGATTGTTTGGATGTTTTATCTGCCTGGACATTCTCTTATGTGAGCAGATTAAAATCCTTCTTATCGAATCTGGGTCTGGAGCCAGAACAATTCTTCAGAACACTCAACTTTAGGATATCACAACCAGAGAGGATGGATTTATACCTCATCTTCCAGACAGCCTTATGAAACATAGATCACTGATCATGAAACATTATATTCCATCGTAACAAACATTTATCCTCTTTCTTGACAAACAGATTCTTAATCTTAGTGGCACGTTCCTAGGTAAACAAAGGTAAAAACAAAACAAAACATTTCCTAGAAGAGCAAAAAAGCAGCCCAACAGGTTGATCTCTGTTTAACAGGTTTGGACAAAAGGCCAGGCAATTGTCACATAAAGCCAGCAGTCAATGTAAAACCCTTCAGCAGAAGATGATGTCATCATTTTTGCATGTGATAAAAAAGAAAAAAAAAAAAGAGACCAGTGCAAGAAAGTGAGTAAAGTTGGCATCTTAAAATAGAAACAGAAAGGAAAAATTAAAAACACTTCGAGCCAAGACAAAAGCTTCATTCCTCCTCACAGTGTGCTTGCATAAAAGTATGGTGGACAGAAATCTAAAACTGAAGCTCGACTTGAGATTTTACAAATGAAAATGCAGCTAAAAGCAGGCTTTGGAGGACATCTCAAATTACAGTAACCTCAATAAAATGGACAACTCACATTCCAGTGTTTTTGATGATGCGGCCCTGATCCATCTTCTGGCCAATCCCGTGCACCACAAAGACAACGTGGGTAGTCTGAGGGGGCCGGTCTTCTGGGGAGGCCTCCTCCACATAACCTCGATGGAGCCGTGTGCCGCTGCTTGAGGCTGCAGCAACAGGAAATTCAGATTTTCATCGTCACTTCTCAAACCAATAAGAAACTTAAGTTTGATATTGAGTGTACAACTCTGGCAGAAAAAAAAAAAAAGGAAGACTATCAATAGTCCAACATGCTGTATTGATTCCAAGGAGGTCAGTAGGCGAGACATGGACTCCTGCTGTGGCCACCGACCACGTGGGAGCATGTGTAAAGTACTGGCAGGTCAGAGTGTGTGTCTTTACTTAAAACCTATAATCTGATCATGTTGTGTGCTAAATGGAAACGTGATAGGAGCCGGTGAACTCGCACTAAAGACAGATCAGTTCGCAGAGCGTTGGGTAACCAGGGAACGTTGAGGTAACCAGTCAAAGCTCCGGAAAATAACATGGAGAGAAAATGAATCATGGCGTTATGGAACTGTGCACCAGATCATCTTCACATACACTGATGAAGGTCAGATGTAAAACTGTACTTAATTTGCTCCCTTTCTTTCCCCAACCTTCAATGTATTTAAGACCAAAACATGATGTGGACATCACCAAATAATTCTGCTTTCTTTTAACCTTCTACGTTGACCAGTTTGTAAATAAAACACCATTGCATTGCTACGTCCATCTCATATGATAAAGTGTGATGCAAGTGATACAGACCTTTGGAGAAGCCCAGTTTCTGGGTAACAGTGCGAGCAATTTTTGACGTGGTAGCGTCGCTGTAAAGGTAGACTTCTTCCACGCTGTGCCAATCTACGTGCGTCCGGCTCAGCTTCAAATGGTGGATGGCTGCAGCAGTGAGAGAAAAGTCAGGCAGAGTCAGAAGGCATTGAGACGGAGCCTAGATCATTTTCTGACAGAGAAATGAGAAAAACAGAAAACAAGAGAAGCTAAATATAAAAAAAAAAAAAAAAAGGTTTTAATTTTAGGGTTTAGGAATCATACATACTTCTGAGAAGTGTAAGTAAAAAAAAAAAAGATTTACACCAAGTTTGTTATTTTAAGTAGCAAGGATACAAAAGTCCACAAACTCTTTTCAAACAGCTCAATCAAAAGCTGTCTGTCGCTTTGATCTGCTTAAATAAAAAAAGAAAAATCACACAGCATGATCGCATACTTCAGCTCTTGCTTGTCGTCCTGCTTTGCAGCTTCCAATTGCCAATTGATTTTTTCTAAACTTAAATCTGTCCTCCAATTTTTTGTTTTCTGGTTCTTATTCGGTGGTAAATGCAGTGACTAAAGCAAGTAAGAGCTAAATTATGGCTTGAGAAAAACCAGTTGATACCTACAAAGGACCAATAAATGAAAGTAGTGGACTAAACGGAGTCAAAGCTGTGCCCCATGTTCCTGTTCAGTCAGGTTCATTTGGCTGAAATTGTTGAACACGCTGGCATTTGTCCAAAACGTAATCATGGACTCTTTGTGCTATTCTGAAAGAAACAAGGAATTTAAATCCTGAAGGAGCGGGTAATGTTCCTGGGAAAATGAGGCGTGCTGGATTAGTTTATTGCTGGAAATTCAGAACAATACCTTCCCACAGAGGAAAACTGTTGTTTCCTTTTGGTCAAGCACAGATTTGTAGGACAAATAAGTTCCCCATCAAGAAATTCCACTATTTGTTCCGTTCACATCAATTAATGAAACAAGCAAAACCTCCATTTGTCCCATGCAGCTAATGATTCTCTGATGTCTGCCCAATAAATGCCCTGAACCATGAATTTTTATACTCCGTAACTAAAAATTATCAGTCAGTTCCTCTTGCATGAAGATGAGAACAAGTTAAACAAATATAGTGACCGTCACTTTTTGACACTGAATCCTACAAAACTACAACTTCTGCCAACAGGATTTTTGTTCTGTCACACGTTTAGCTTCCTCTTTGTAGATTATCAAATGAAATCACTCCACGGCAAAAGAAACATAATCGCTATTTATCACAACATGGCGGAGCACTCAACTACTCTTGGACAGCAACAGTAAGGGGTAGCTGTTAGTATTTCATGGAGAAGAGTTTAGTGATTGCCTGTTGTTGTACGTCTGCTGGAAGAGTGTGGCAATGGTCTGTAAACAGACTTGGAAGAACGAAAAGGATTTCTTTATAGTCAACTTGTTGACCCTTATGTTTTGGTCGAGCAGAGGTGAGAGTCGAAGGCTACTTCAGAGATGCATCTCAGTAAATTAAAATATCAAAAGAGTCATTTAATGATCAAAATGAACAGAAATGTTAGAAAAATCTTACCTTGCATGTAATGAATATTTATAATTATGTTACTTTTCAAAAAACAAAAAAACAAACTGAATTACCTAAAACATTTCAATGATATTCTTATTTACCGAGATGTGCCTGTAAATAAAACAGAAAATAGAGAGCAGGAATGTAAGAAAGGATTAAAGGAGCCCCATAACCTTTGCAGTCAAAAAGAGAAAAGATATTTTGTGACAAAAAACCCCCAGATAATATAAAGTAAGCTCCAAGCTGGGAAGTGCTAAAGGTGAATGCAAGGGGCAAAAAGAGCCTGCCAAAACTATCATCAAATTTGGCCCTGCACTATATATATATATATTGTGACATTGAAGTTAATGTCTTTCCAGAAGGCTTCATAGCACTGCAATGTTAAAAGTGAGATTGTCATCTTCAAAAACCGTGCGTCTTTTAGGGCTGCTGACTTTCCCGCTGGGCTTCGGATCAACAGCCATTTCATCCTCCTGTGAGACGAGGAAACAAACACAGAGACGTCTCTCCTCTGTGAACCCAGAAACAGGACATTAACAGACTTCAGAATGAACGTACACAGCATGCTAGCGCTGTTTCACAGAAAGACTTCAACAATGACTCTTTGTTCCAGCTTATGAGTTGTGCTCAACTCTCAATAGAAAGCGTTGTTCAGGAGGCTTTATTGAGCTGGTGTTGCTGGTAGAGTAGAAATATAGCAACAGTGTCTAAAGGAATTGAGAAAAAGAGGCTGGGAATTAAAAAAAACAAACAAACAAACTGTGTTGAGACATTTTGACAGTCATTTTTAATTTCTGATGCAGTTCTTAAAGAGTCTTGCAATTGTAGTTGAGTGATCCATGTTGTGTACTTACTATTCCAGCAAGGAAGCACACAGGATTCCCCAAAAAGCAGCAATAGTAGTAGAACCAAACTCTAGACCACAGCACTAAAAAGTGAGTTCTAGCAACTAGGCTCAGTTAAAGCTGCAATGTAAACCAAGATAACAGACTAAATTCAGCTTTACGACAACCACGTCGAACTGAGCCTAGGTCTAGTTCCAAATGGAAGGCTTCAAAAGGTTTAACCCACAAAAGAAAGGAAAAACTAGTCCAACAGAGGCCTAGAATCTAAAAGGATGAGGGATAAAAAGCTAAAGGAGCTAACACAACAGAAAACGTAGGATTTCACAGTACCTTGGCAGCGTTTGCGCTTGTGACCTGCCGTTTTAGCACCCGTCTGATATCCACTCCATTTGAACAGAAACGGGAGATAGAAAGGGGGCAGGTGGGAGAGAACTAACAACCAACAAACAGTGAGTAGTGTTCATTGCCCAGTTCAGGTCACAAAATACTTCATTTGTCATTAGTCCTAAACATGGCGACTTATCAAAAGACAGTAAAGGTAACTTATAAGTTCAATGAAGACTGCTGAAAATGTTCAGGAGCTGTACTCTGTGACTTCTGAGCAAGTTTTTTTTTTTTTTTTAATATAGGAGTTTAGCTTTGCAGGATTTTGTCTGTTTATAGCCACTTATAAAAAGAAAAGAAATCTAAATGTTTGCCTTTATTTAAATACCAAGAGGTTAAAATAATAATTAAAAAACAACAACAAGAAAATCAGACAGACCAGAACATTTACATTTACTATATCATAAACAAAGAGCATAAAGATATTTTGAATGTGACGTCCACAATCTCAGATTTGACTGGCTCATTTGATTCATGATAACGAAGCAATCGGACTTGCAAATACTGGCTGAGGTTGTTTCAGCTGAGGTGAACGGCAGAGGATGAGGAGGAGGGGAGAAGTGCTGAGGCGCACAGTAAGTGTGATTGCTGTAAAAGCGATCGGTACAGCACTGATGGAGCTATTGAAAATAAGTGCTCTGTAATGCCTGGGATATATATCAAGGCTTATAAAAGGTCAAAATGAACTTACTAGGTTGTGTTTTTATGCAGCATATCATGCTGTGCAGCTGGCCTTGGGTCTTTTGATTCCTGAAGAATTATCAAAGTAGCAAGTGGATTTGGAGCTTTAATACGTATTAAGCCCAAGACAGTTGATGAACAATTTAGATATCTTTTGGATGACTTCCAATAAAGGGTTCCGGTGCATTTTCTTTCCTTAAAGTTCTTTCAAGTTTCTTCTTTTTTTTTTTTTTGTCAATAATTATGCGTCATCATAGGCTCACAAATATCTGAAATAAGAAGGCAGGTTACATGGGAATAGCTACCTGGTCTCGCCCTCATCAAAAACATACAGAAAACAAAGCTTGACGACACGGCTGGCCTGCTGGATGTAATTTTCCCTGACGTCTTTCAAGCCTGAAAGATGAGTCCACACCCTGTTGTCTCTACAACCTGCCTAGTACTCTGCACAGCCAAGGTAATGGGTGGAAACAACAGATGAACCTTACCACGAAACATCCCAAATTCACTATGTAAGCTTTATTCAAGTCAAATAGTGTGAAAAATAATGTTGAAAAAGAATCTGACCAGGTACTATTTTCACTTATTGGGGATATTTTAAATGTTGGATTACTTATCTTAAGTTCATCGTTTAAAACGGGACTGAGACGCTCTGCATCTGGATGCAGTTCAAAGCCTACCATGTCTTCTGTTTCAACCAACTACTGCAAAATACTGTACTGCAAATCTGTAAGGTATTAGGGCGCTTATAAAATCCTTGTATTAGATGTAATGTAGTTTAAAACAGCCTCCATATGGCTCTGAGTGCTACAGATTACTAGTGTCAGGGCAAAATATTCTTCTGCAAGAGGCAGAATGCAACATTAGCTCAAGGATAGTGAATTAACAAGATCTATCGTTCACTTTGCTTTCAGGCTCAGCTAAATATAGAGGTGGAAAACGAGGTACAAACAAAGGAGGAGGTGGGGAGGGATGTAGTCTGCAGTCACCAATATTGTTTTCCATTAGGTAGAACCATGAAAAGTAAGAGCAGGCATTGCTTTGGCTTATTCTGTTTTGCAGGAGTTCAGCTCATCCATTCAACACACTGAAACTGTGTGTTTTGTGTGTGTGTGTGTGTGTGTGTTTTATCGAGTGAAACTTCGTCACATTTTAGAAAACAAAATAAAAAGTCTGTGTATTAAATTTAACACAGCTTACAGTTAAGGTGTAATCCTTCTGTAACTTGGTGTCATGAATATGTCCAGCATTTATTCAGTGACTATATATATATATATATATATATGCATGAATGAACCCAATGCATTTTTTTCCTAAATGATTTTGATTATTTTTTTTCCTTTTCAAAAAGTGTATGAAAATACTAGCAACTGTAACACAACTTAAAACTTTTAATTTTTAGTGAGATACAATCAGTTTATTCTGAGTAAGAATAAGACATAACATTACAAGGAAAAAATTTGTTCTTTTGAAGTCTAAAGAAATCAATAAAAAAAAAAATCTCAAATGAAGATTGATTATATATATATGAATATATTTCTGTGATATTCTAAACTTTATGGACTAAAGTTTAAATTCTGTTTCTCAGAAAATCGCAAATAAATAATACAGAAATACTAACACAGAATTTTAACACTGGAATGTCACCTCATGGCCTAAACACTGCTGACCTAACAGGTTTTCAGCAAAACGTTTTTTTGACCCACTTAAAAAAAAGACCGTTTGTGTATGGGACGTCACTAATGGTCTTTGCGAAAGCATCTAGCTTTATGCAGAGTGCTGTTCCTAGAAAATTAATGGAAATTTAAGAGGAAGGAAAACATGCCAGAAAAGGCAGCAGTCATCTAACAGGAAGTAATAGGAGACATCCATCTGCTGTGAGCTTTATGGAAATAATATTCAAATTTCTTTTTGTCAGCTGTAGCATGCAATAATCAAAATAACTAGAACTAATTGCTTGTAAAACATAACTCAGTGTAACTTTCTGAGTGTTTCACTTTCTTAACCAAATTTCCTGAATAAATTATTACTCTGATTTTTTGAAGTGATTTATCAGGGTTATATTTTATTTATAACGTTAGGGTATGTTGCTGGGATATCTGGAGACGATGTCGCTTTTGTCCAACTTTCTCCTTTTTCTACATACTCAATCTCACTCTTTTGCAGTCTTTCAGTATCCAGTTCACACAACCAGACATTCATCAATCTGGCCACCATAAGGAGAGCTCTGAATCACACAACCTCTTTCTTACTGCTATCCAAAGCTACAGCTTGTGACATTTTGCTTGAGCCAGCTCATCAAAGAGGGTCATACCAAACTGTACATGGAGATCCTGCTTTACAATGGTGGCGCACCTGTCAAGTTCACTTCTAACTCTCACACCTCAGTATGAATCAGTAACTTGACCTTTGGTTCAAAACATAGCAAAAATGTAAAAGCCCAACTTTTTGTCATTGTAAAGCTATTAACTGGGTTCACAAAGAGAAATTAGCAACAGGAATTAACAAATAAGCTAAGGATAAACTTGTAAACTGTTATCCCCTTTCCCAGCACTCACCATCTTTGCTGTCAACGGTCTTCACCACCAGATCCGTCTCAAAGGTGTCCTGCAAATGTTGGCCTCGGAAATGGTTCAGGTGCTCCTGCTCAATGAGGTCGCTCTCTTCTTCTTCCAGCGGCAGCCAGCTACCATCGATGAACCACTGGCCTCTCATCACAGGAATATGGTCTTGTTCTGAAGCAGACACACCTCTGATTTAGCTACATAGACTTTAATAGAAATGATCTGTATAGTTAGACATTTGATTTTTTTTTTTGTTTTTTTACAGTTTCTATTTGTATCATAAAAGTTTTTACCAATTAGCATTAAATGCTCAAATGACTGATTATACTGCGCTATAACTTGTATTAAATAGGACTGTGTGCAATTGAGAGGCAATAAATTAATGTGTACTATATTGGATTCAACAAACTATAATTATGTATGAAGTGGAACCATTTGTCTAGCTATTTCTCTTACCTTTACATGACTGTTGTGAATTGATGCTATTTCAATAAATCTTTTTCTAGGCACTGACTCATTTTCCCGTGGCACCTTAGATGACGTACGGCAAACTGATTTCCATTTAATTAAATAAGTCAGTCAAATCCAGGAGGACCAAGACTCGGTGTTTAACCGAGCGGGGCCAGGTTTCATTACAGTCTAGAGTCAAATTATGAACACCATTCTGACTTGAATCCCAAGAGGAGAATTAGAGTGAAATAGCGGAGCCTATATCAGCGACACTCCAAAAACGACAGAACCTTTTTTTTTTTTTTTTTTACAAAATGAAAACAATGATACTGAAAATACACCAGTATTTATTTTTTTAAATGTCTTACTTAAATCTAAAGCAAACACAAACACACACGGAGATAAAGGCTCAGGAGATAATATTGGGTCATCAGTTGAGTCCATTTGTGACAGTTCAGAGAAGATAAGCTTAGAGAACCTTTAATGTCTCAACTATTTCATCATGTGTATTAAAGGCCAATATACAATAAATGCTTGCTCATCCACCCTTCCTTGTCCTGTTGCTGCTTACTGGTTGTCAGCTGACTGAAATAAGACAACTATACTTTTCCCTCACTTACAAGGTAAAAATGGGTGGAGTCTTTATGTGGAATAAACCAGTACCAGCCTCCTATAGCTTTTCTTAGGGTAACTTGTTTTAAAGATATAGAATGCATTGCAATGATGTTTGTCAAACTGGATGTTCCCCATCCGATAGCCCACAAAACTAAAATTCATGAGAACACTGTCTCTATTGTTGATGTTTGTTTAAATAAAAACAATTTTCTTCAAACTAAATACTGTGACATCGACCAAGGTACTCCTGGTGTCACAGTACCAGTTCAGAGAATATTTATTTCCTGTAAGCAATCATGACTAGATTTAATTTTGTTAGAGATACACATATTACTGTGGGACAATAAAGATGACTTGTATTTTATTCTAAAGACCAGGGATCAGAAATGATCATTATCCATCGATTGGCTCCCATGTCAAATGCCAAACAAAAACATATTTTTTCCCCAATTTATTAAATTCATCAAAACTAAGAATTCCCATTTTCAGTCTATAAACATACCATATTTTTATGCACTTTTCTGAATTTAATTAAAATTGGATCTTGTGAAAGTCATATAACTTCACTTTTTATAGGTTTTGGTATCTTCGATATCTGCAGCTCCTGTCTTTCTTATACGCTACATTAATTGGAATTTTTTTAAATCTAACACATTCAGTAAATGTACACTTCGAAAATCTACAAGTTCCATGTTATGAGTGACAATATTGGCAACAATCGTATTTACTTCCCCCCCACCCCCCCCCAAGGGTGTAGTAGGTTTGAATCAAGAAATTAAACAATAATCCTCATTCATGCATTAAAGTGTAACATTTACCAAATTTTTATGACACAAAAAAGAACATCAATGGTTGACACGTTTATAGGATACTTGGAGTTCTTTATTGAGAGGATTTAATGAATAGACTAATAAAAATCTAATTGTATTTTTGACCTGCTGATGAAGAGAAAATTAACTGATTCTAATTGGTGGCTAATTTATTGGTGTAACTCTACAGTTCGGAAAACCTAAGTGGGTTCTTGGAATTTAAAAATGGCCCAGCAACTGTTTTTACCAACCAGTGGTCACAGATGATTTTCAAACATAAACTGTAACAGAGTTAATGCAATATAATGAAAGGCAACCAGGGGCGCCGCTAGGAATTTTGCGCACCGTGACAAAATATGAACTTGACACCCCAACCCTCAAGTGGCTCCTTCCACCATCTATTGAGTCTATCTGACCAATCAAAAGCTTTAGATAACTAACTTTAAAAACTTGCTTCCATTGGTCCAATACTGGTAATGGCACATTTACTGGTAGTAAATTAAACATACGACAATATGCAAGTAACAATTTGAAGCAAGATTAAAATGACTAACAACATTGTGTCCGATAAAAGGCTTCCATTCCATTCCAGTCTTAACATAGCAATACTGCAAAGCCTGTCTTGAGGCCTAGCCTCCAGCCCAGACAGGAAACTGTTTTTATTACCATTTTATAACAGTTGTTTAACATTCTCTCAGTAATAAATATTTCAGTTTTTTTTTTGTGTAATTGTAAAAAGAGCAAGAGAGACAGAGAAATCCCCATACATTCCCTGCACTGATGCTAACTATCATATCATTGAACAGTATTGCTCACCTTCTTCACTGGGACAGGGAGGAGGAGTTATGCTGGTATTGGGAGTTATGGCTGCTGCTGACTCAGAACCATCTGTTGTTAAGTGCGGTAAAAGGTACAGGGACAAGTTAAATCTTATAAATATCTTGGTAAATATTGCCCTTCCCTGATTAAATGCTGGTGAAATGGAGACTAGGTAGTCTGCAGCTAAGCTAACTAATGACTGAAAATCACACTTTGTAGTCTACCCACCTTTCTTGGAGGAAAAACTGGGTTACAAATTGACGCCTTTCTCTTTTGTCTGTCTTCTTTTTCTCTTTTCGAAAATCTGACTTTAGTCTTGGCAGCATAGTTATTATCACTGACTACTAACCACTGTCACTGTCAAGTGCGCAAAAGCAGGTATGCAGATACTGGCGGGTGTAAATATGCATGTTAGCTTTGTTGATCTGGGAGTGCTTGTATTTAACCTTAGTATATACTTTAGTGCATATATATATTTATTTATTTTATTTCATTTTTTGTCCCCCCCACCTCCCTATTGGTCAGGGGCCATTACAATTGTCCTAACTTCCCCCAGGTCCCCTAAACGGCGCCCCTGATGGCAACTGACCATTGACTGTGGTCCAATAATCTGTATGCTGCCTGTCGGGCATTATACTGCAGACTATTAATTATATATGATATGAATGTACACAACACAAATCGGTGATGAATGATACGTTATTCAAAGTGGACCCAAACATTAGCTCGATCGATTTTGAGTGAGTGATGGAGGAGAGGAAATATACTCACGCTTCCAGTAGACAGGGTAGCATTTTCTCTCTTTTATGTCGACCTCATAAAGGCCTCCCCGAACACACACAGGCTCTACGTTGATTTCAGTGCCGTCCGGGTCGGTCCCGTCAAAGGACACAGTAGATGTGTCAAGAGAGCCGCGGCCTTCGTCCACGCTGCTAGTGCCAGTGTCCACGGGCACTGCGCCGTTCTGCCCCGGGCTGTCCACACATTTACCGCCTGTCTCCTCCTCTCCATCGCCAACCCCGGAGCGCATCGCACCGGGGTTCAGCTCGCAGTATTTCCGAAACATCAGCTCGATTTTAAGAGAGTCGTGTCCGATAAAAGGCTTCCATGTTTTCTTGTCTTCTTTATAGAACCACCGAACCTCCTCCGGGACTAGCTCCGTCACCACCTCGTTAAACCTGTGTCTGGAGCTGTTGGAGCGAGACCTCTTCCTCCTCTCGAATAACGGGCCAACGCCGATCCCATCGCTGTCCCTGTACTCTAACGGGCTGCTGTCCAGGTAGTCTTCCGGGGAGCCCAGCTCGAAAAATATGCCATCCTGGGAGCCGTGGTTCTGGGCACGTATTAGTGGCAGGTGACCGTCCAGTCCCGGTTGGACCGACGACATCCCCGCCTGCATCGAGTCGTCCACGAGGCTCATCTCGTGACAGCAGGAAAACACATCGCTTCCCAGAACCCAGTCCTTGTTCCCGGTGTCAGCGCTGACCGCCGGACCCTTACTGTCTGCGCTGAAAGACGAGCTAATGCGGAGGTTTTGATTGAAACTACTCATAACTATTTGAGCAGGGACTTCATCTTAGACAAGCTAGCGCTGCCAGACTACAACTACAACTAGAGTCCATGTTACTAAGCAGTGCAAACAAACCTAAATAAAACAACTCTGCAACACCTTCCAACGCATCTCCATTAGCGCCCCACAGCTGTTGGCATGTATGCTAGTTCGTCAAGCTAATGAAGCCGGTTGGAAAACTACCCTGCGCCGATAAATCACAAAAAAACTGTAGGGTCTCCGTTTACCCCTAGCAGCGTAAACTTGATTCAAACCTCGCAGATGACACCGAATCACTTCGGCCCAGCTTATCGCTGCAGCCGCCGTACTTTGAGTATTCCTGGTCCCATCGGAATATCAAAGACTCCTCCATTTGAAAACAAATCTCGCATAGAAACAGAACTGTAGCGCGAGCGCGCGCGCGCAACGCACCAGCTGACGCACCAAACAATGTGAACGCGTACGTCGAAATTGAGCAACTATGACGAGAACGGTTGTGTTTTCTGTCTCCTACATGAACCAAACGGCAATGATCGCACGACACACTAGAGGACGCCAAATACTTATTTTTGTAGCACTATTAGTCTAACATCGATTAAAAAAAAAAA